TAACATACCCTGTACTCCTGGGATGCCACTAACCTTTTCTTTAAAGATGGTCTACTTATGCATACCTAACCAAACTCTAAGCAGTTGTTCTGTATCTAGCTTGGGAAGTTGCTGTTTTCATTTTCAGATTTGAAAAAAGAGTTACATGCTTCAAAGCTTATTTGATTTTTCCAGTTGTACCACTTAAGTGACACTATCCATGTCTGTAAACCTTGCCTAATTTATGCAGAAACTATCACAGGTGTCTCAGCCTTTTCTGCCCTTCTTTTCCTTCTTTCATGAACTCAGAAAAGCATAAATCTGAGGAAGCAGTAAATAAGGCTGTCGTGATAAGCACATTGTATCCTTATAAACACAGGGGTAAGTAGTGCTACAAGCATACCAACACTGTAAGGGCAGAAAAGTAAAAAACCTAACTTGCTTAAAACTGTATAGAAGGTTTCACCTCTAGGCCCGTGGATGTTTGCAAACTGAGGTATCTTTTTAAATTATGTCAGATTTTATGTAATTCACATATTAGGCAGGTTGTGCACAGAAGCAAACGGAAGTGCGGTATTTCGTCTGTTTAATGAAAATTAAGGACATATGATACACCACAAAACATTTTTCACTGTTTAATAAACTATAAAAGGACGGATATAATACTAGGAGTCTCTCTTCATGTGGTAAATCCTAGCAATGGCCTGCAATGCTTTACAGAGGATTTTTCTTCTAATTCCTCAAAATGCTCCTTGTCCATAGAAGGGTTTTATAATCAGCAAGGACAATTTTTTTTCCTGAGCCAGCCAGCACTTACATCCTAGGTCAGGATGATTACAAACCATGTAACTACATCAGTATCTATTCACCCCTCCCAGAATGATGGAGTCTACAGTTTAATTACATATTACTCACAAAACTGTTTCCTTCTATCCATTTCAAATTTGTTTCTTGAATTAACAGTGATGCATTTTTATTACAGCATAAATGCATGTTATTAGCTGGCATGACTATATAGCTTTTTGGCGAGAGTTTTGGAAGGAAAAGATTTCTGATCCGTTTGCACAACCATGTATTTTGCATTAAAATTATCATTCAACCAAACACGTAACAGAAGTAAATACCTAAAATACACAAGCAGACCATTCTGACAACTGTGTTCAATACCAGACTACGGGGTTGTTCTCTCTGGAACAGAGAGAACCTCCATCCTCGGAAAAAAACATTTCCACGCTCCCCTCCCACCACACCAGACTGGCTTCCAGCCTGGTGGTTAGGGTGTGTGTGGCGAAAAAGAGGGTTTGAATCCCCTTGGGCAGTGACAGGAACAGGACTAACTTCAAGTGGAGAACACAGCAAGAACTTGTAAGGACACATGATATAAAAAGCAAGTAATATAAAAGTGCTGTAAGTGTGAATTCTGTTCTACTTTTGAAATAAAGGATTTAATATCTGCTTTCAGAAAGGCAGATGTTCATGGTTCTGAATGCCAAGTGGAAAGAGTCGCCTATACCTTCAGGGAGAAGTAGAATTAGGACTAGTCCTTAGTATTTCCTGCTAGCTTATTTTGGTGGCATCTCACAGAGCTTGCTGGAGTTTGTAGAATTAGTTCTAAGGTACTTAGAGACTGACAGACAAGCAGTATGACAGCTGAAACTGTTACTCCCCAGGTCTTCCCACAGGCAGGGACACTGGATCTACTAATGAATCAGATCTTGACCTGCTCCAGTTTCCATTTAGTTATGGAAGACTAATGAAACCTGCAGTTAAGAGTATCTAAGCTTACGAAATAGCTCACTTGTAGTGGAAAAGTTGTTTTCCTTGCCACTTGGTCCTGTTTCTTCCTGCTACCTCCAACACCCATTAGTCCTCCCTGTGAATCAGTCCAGTCCGCCGATGCAGCAGGGGACAAAATAGCATCCTGGGAGAGGGGGAAGGTTTGGTAAGTTAGTCTTCTGACTGGTGACCTCTATCAGTGGCTGAGCAGGTCTGGTGACCGCCAAAGCTGGCATGACGCAGGTGGCAGGAGTGCGCAGCTGAGACTTGTGGAGGTGGGTAAGAGTGAAGAACATGGGAGGAGAGTCGGACTCTCCTTTTTGATGGTGAGAGGCTAATAGATTGCCTAACTGAGCCTCTTGAAGTTGCAGGTGTGCTTTGCAGTGAGGGAAGACATGCTGTTCATGGATATGAATTCTGCTGTGAGGTATATTTCAAAACACGGAGCGTCACAACTTTTATGGCTTTCTGCAGGTCTAAATAAATAGCCGATGTCTCCATTCAGTTTTCTTGGAATGCTTAAAAAATGTGTTCAAAACACTCCCAGGCTACCAAATTAATATTTCTATTAGCCCTTCTAATCCAAAATTAATACATTTATATAA